AAAACAAAAACAGCTTAGAATGTGAAGAAAAATAAGATATTACATTTGTAACGAAAAAATAGACGAGGCATAAGAATTTAAATTGGTATATTCTAAAAATTGGTCTATTAGGTGTCGTGTAGACGATCCAGACGCTTGAAATTTGTCATGCGTAGACAAATTGGACACCAACCTAAGGGTCGTAGGCGTCATTTTGGTGCCCATATATATTTTTTTTTTACATTTTTTTTGATTTATTTTTGTAATATAATAATATAGATTTTGATTTTTATACATCAAATGTATGTTAATTATAAAATTAAATCATTGTGGAAACATTAATATAATAATTATAAGTATATAATGTTTCGTAAAATATTTGTATTCAAACATATTTTATCTCGCTCATCATGATTAGTATAAATTTTTTAATATTTATTATATCACTTCAAATCGTGTGATGAAAATTACAAAGAATATGGAGGTAAGTTTCATGCTCCATTTCCACAGATATCTACAATTATTTTCCAATGCCTTGATTGCAAAATACATTTTTTTTTTTCTTTTTTTAATTAATTCAAGGAAAACAATTCGTGCTAATGCAGTGACAATAGGATGTGCAACTGTATATTTTATATAGAAAAATGTTACGGTCCTGTTACGAAATCATTATATCGAGTTTATAACCGTTAGATCATCATGTAATCGACGAAAATAATTAATCTAACGGTTGTAAACTCTGACGGAATGGTTCCGTAATGAGACCGTACGTAGCATCTCCCTCTCTTAAAATTCATATTCAAAATTAGCATAAGAAACAAAAATGTGTGTCTGCGTGAGGCCATTTCTCAAAGATCAACTAATTTAAGTACCGTTTTTCCCAAATTAGCAACTATAGACACCCTAATCTTGCGGACAATCTCAGGTATATTTAGAAAGAAAATCCATTTCCTTAGCCTATAAGTAGTTTTGGACCCTTTACACCATTTTTCACCATACTTTTATATTCATTTTCTTTTAATTTGTTTTAGCTAGATCAATAACAATTTTCTTTCATTGTTTTTCAAGTGAAAAAAAAAATGTCGGGCATCATAGATAAGATAGAAGACGCTCTAGGGTTAGGAGATCACAAAGATGACAAAAAACACGACGAGAAAAAGCACGAGGTGGGCGAGTCGCATGGCGAGAAAAAGGACGAGTCTTTTTCTGATAAGCTGAAGGGGAAGATTCACGGGGAGGATCACGAGCATCATGAAAAAGACGATAAAGAAAAGAAGAAAAAGAAGAAGAAAGATAAAAAGAAGCACGGAGACGAACATGATGGCCATAACAGCAGTAGCGGAAGTGACAGTGATTAATTGTAAGGTATAATTAAGCGATATGACGATGATTTTGCATCGTATAATTTCTTGATTATTAAGAAAAAAATGTACATGCATTGTTAATTAGTCATTAGCCACAATTTGATTTTAAGTATTGGTTTATGATTATTTGCAGGTGACTTATGCATATGGACCTTTGCTTGAATGTGCTCCAAATGAGGTTGTTAGAGAATAATGGTTGCTTCATATATAATTAACCATATATAGTTGTTAAGTTATATACTATAGAATAATTGGTTATTTTGTATTCTGATTTTATTTTTACGAGGTGGTGACCTGTAATGTAACAATGAATAAAGTTGTTTTCACATAATATATTTTGACATGACATGACATGACCTGTAATGTATGTTAATTTTAAAATTAAAGTGAATTGTAAAATCATAATATCCTGTTACCGTGTGTATTATATCAAATTTTAATATTAATTATCATGTTAATGCAGCATAATCTTGTAATAATACTACTACGTAATATTTTTACATGTATGAGATTGGAAAACAAAGAAAAACAATACATTAATTTATTAGTAAAAGAGTACAACACTATTATAGATTATATTTGTGTTAATAAAAAAATTAACTACATTAAAAGAAACATGAATAAACTGAAAAGACAACTAGGCCCACACCTAAATACAATAATTCTTCCCGGCTTCTAAGGGTTATTGTTTATCAATTTTTTTTTTTTCCAAACAAAAAAAAAAATATTTAAGACTCAAATTTAATGCAACTTTAACTCACTCCACTATATCTAATATTATTAATAGAATTAAATAATATTAATCAATTATTCTTACACATTACATCAACTTTATAAGAAATGGGGGCAAAACGGGTGCGGTCCACGCACGTGAAGCGCATCATAACAGGAAAAGCTTAAATGAAGTTCAAGTGAGGTTTCATCCCAAAACCAATTGGTAGAGGGAGGACTCTAGTAAAAAAACCACAAAAGAAGACGGGATTTTAGAACGGTTAACATATAGATTCAGGTTTGTGCTTTTTCTCCTCTGTTTTTTCCCAACTTTTTTTATGTATTGTTTCATTCATCGGAGCAGAAGATTCGGATTTGTCCATATTGTCAATAAATTTTGATTTTTCTGATTATTTTTTTTTTTTTTTTCTCTTTTGGATCGTTTGCCTGGTGTAAATTGCATATGGTTTCATAGTGAAGCTCCATTCTTTGTCGAGATCAGAATAATTAAATGTGATTACAAATATGTGTTGAGAAAGGGATGATGAAGGAGTCTGAGCTTGTCAAATACGAGTCCAGACAAGAACTATGACTTAATTTTTAGAGCTAATCTAACTTGATCCTAAATTAGTTAGTTTTCATGTGTTTTCTTTGGCTATAGCTGTTTTAGCTGTTTTAGGATCATCTACTGTTTGATCTGAGAGTTAAAAGTTACTGTTTATGTTTATATTGTTTTGGATTCAAGTAGTTTTCGTGTGTTTCCGTTGTCAATTGTTGTTTAAAGGGTCGATCTCATCCAATCCGGCGGGATAGCTCGGGAGGGATCCTGAGAAGAAACATACTTATGATTTGACTCATTAAATTCTATGATTGCACCAATGTTGTATATACATGGAAATGTTTAAGAC